GAGGTCATAGTGGGCGTGGCCATATTAAATAAGTATGATGAGGCATGGCCACAATGGATCATTTTGGCAGAACTGTAGTGGATGTGGAAAAAATGTGCTAAATGTGATAGGTCTTTGCAGGTGTGGCCTACGAATGAAATAATGTGTCTGAGGCACACACTGTGATTTTGCCTTGACAGTCAGCACTCAGTGTCTTGACAAATATGCATTCACTAAGGGCGACGTTTGTCTTTCCACTATGGAGGCTTAAGTAAGCCTTAGAAAACGAGGGTTTGGGCCCCATGTTACCACTGTGGCGGGCAGCGTGTTCACCCTTCACTGGGGTGTGGAAGCGCCATCTTGTGGTCAGGTGAGCCGCTTTTTTTCCATGTGGTGGGCTGGTAAACTGGGACCATGCATTTGTGCTGTGACATTTCTTGTTGGTCCTACACTCTCACACTCTGTATTTTCCTCTGTCCTTTGGAGTTGCGTCACATGACACATTTTCTGCAGGCATCCCAAATAGCGTTCAAGTTGTGCCAACCGTGAGTCAGCATTTGGTGTTCTACCCATGGGGGCGTGGGGGTGGGATGACCCCACCCCTCAGTGGCCAAGGATGGGGGGAGCATCTTACTGTACTCAGTGCCTGGACCATGCCAGCAGAGTGAAAGGCTTGCCAGCAATTTGGGTGTGTTTGTTTTCTGGGATTTGGCAATGATGTCATTTGTCCAGGCTGACTGGCATCAGGTTTCCATAGCAACGTGAGCACCACCCTACCAGCATCCTTAGTATTGGCTAATCCATTATGGAGCCCCCGCTGGCCTGTTGCTCTTTGCCCAGCTGTAGGTGGCTTCTGGCAGACTGGTTTCTCCCCATTAGCCTGCGTCCAGTGAGGACAAGTAGCATTACACCCTATTGGTTCTGCTAATAGCAACAGTAGCATCAGTAGATACTGTAACAGCATGAATTGAGTTTGTAGTTGATATTGTACAAATATTAATTTTTTTGTGGTATTGGAGTTCTTTTTAGTAATGGTACATGTACAATATAGTTAATTAGCAGTGAGCATGGTGTCCTCTGGAGTTTGTTAGTCGCAGTACTATCTTTACTGTAAGGATATTAGCAGTTAGCATGAGGTCAATAGGAGTTTGGCGGTCGGAGTAGTATCTGTATTTTAGGGATATTAGCAATTGGCATGATGTCAGTGGGAGTTTGGTGGTCGGAGTAGTATCTGTATTGCAGTAGTATCTGTATGGTAGTGATCCAGTCAGCAGCCATGGTAATTATAGAGTGAATTTTTCATACCTTTCTCAGGATCAAACTGTCTCTGTTTGTAACACATTTGTAATGAATACATATAGTACAGCCAATACTGATCAGATTCCTGTGTGTTTTTGGGACCACTGACTTTTGGCATGAGATTTTGCCCATGGGGCGTTCATCTCTTTCTTTCATGAGGTTGCGTCACCCCTCGGCAGAGTTCGTGTACTGCCACTCTCGCAGATGCACAATGTTGTGCTAAATCCTCAATAAAACCGCAGCTCTCAACTGTTCCAGGAACACTGCAATAATGATGCAGGGCGCAATTTCCCCGCGACCCGAAAGCTGGATGCTGCTGGGGTTCGAGTTGTAGATGCTGAGCACAACATTCCGAGGTCCCAGGGTTCAAGGTCAAGGGTCACTGTGGAGTTTACTGGAAGGACGTGGAACATGACAATCCCCATTCACCCCGAGGGGCCTTGCCTGGGGTGCAGACCAGTCCTCACCGGGAGGACAGAGATACGGGCCCCCAGTTCACAACAAAACAGGACTTTTGGCATTTTTAGGTTTCTGATTGCATTCACAGATTTTTTTATTAATTTGAGTTCTCCCTAGTGAGGACTGAAAAGATGTCCCTAAATGGCCAAAATAGCATGTTTTTATCACATTGTGGGGACATTTGGTCCCCGCAGTGTAATGTATACATGACCCACATCCACACACACACACACACACACACACACACACACACACAGGCAGACGTGGGCTTCCATGCCGAATACAGACAGCTTTGTGATGGATATATACCACTGATATATACCACTGATATATACCACTGATATATACCACTGTGGGGCTCTGGGCCGAGTCCTTCTGGAGGTCGTTCGTTTGGCTCTGAGTCTATGCGAATATACTGCCACCTGCTTCCAGGGCTTTTTATGAAATTGTAACCCCCACCCCCTGATGGCGGCCCTCTTGCAGCCTGAATGCAAATATGCAAATGAGCATAAATTTGTTATGCACTTTTATAGCGACAAGAGTATAAATACACTAATACTGCGGACAGCAGAGTGTGTCCACAGGCAGTAATTTTCCCGTTGAATGCCATGCTTTAAAGGGCCTGTCTCCTCATCTGTTGCCCTGTCCCATTAAACTGTTTGGCCATACAGTGGGGGGTGGGGGGGGGGACGGGGGCTCCGTCGGTGTGTGCCATAAAACACGCGGCTGGAAATGAGCCTGCATGGTGACGGGAAAGTGATCCCGCCTTTATTAAACCTCCCCGTCCTTGTGAACAGGAAATGTAACACTCCTTTTCTTTTGCCTGGAGCCCGTGCAAGATTAATTAAAAGTCTCGCCGGCTCTCGGCTCTTGGGCGTGGGTGGCAGCAACACTTCTCCACTTTTTTATGAACAGAAAAAAAACCAAAACATTTCCTCTGAGCCGCCCCGGAGTGCGGCACGTGGACGGAATTCGCTGGCGCAGCAGAAATGCCTCTTTCCCGTTGGCTTCCGTGGCTCCTGCTTTCAGCCATCATGTCGCTCGATGAGGCCGCTTGGCACCATCCGCCTGGTACCCAGAAATCTATTGGGCCGTCAGTGAGGAGAGGGCTGGCGGATCATGTGACCTGTAAGGTAACCTGCGTTCATTGCGCATGTCAGGCTTTGGCACATGTTGCGCATTTCATCGTGTACTCTGATAGTGCACAGAACGGCATGTACGTGTGTCCCTGGAGCAACCTCAGAGGGCTATTAAGAGAGCATAGCTCAGTGAAAAGCAGACCTGGGGGGCATTAACTACGCAGACTGGAACACATCGGAGGACCCAGGCCCAGACGATGACGACATTAAGGGCTGTGGGACCTGTGCTTACGATCCTGTGGATAATTGCTTTCTCTGCCGTTGCCAACCACATTACCTTGCTTTAAAATGATGAAAGTCACAATAATTCGGAGAAACTGAGCGCAAGGCGGAGAGAGTGAGTGAAACAGACGTGTAATAAACACCATAAGTCAGAGGACGAGGTGCGGAGACTACGAGGTTGAAAGGACGAGGTGATGATGGGTCTCCCTACACCGCCGAAACTCCCCACCAGCTATAACGTTTAGAGGCTGATGGTAATGGATCTTCTCATCTTCTCTGTCTTGATGTTCTCCTTTGGCTTATAAAGGCTTCTTCATCTGCTTTGTATTGTCTGTGGGGGTCTCAGAGCAGATGTTTCCGGGTTTAAACATAAAACAACCTTACGTCAGGATTAATGGCCACAATTGGCACTAAATCGTTTTTTTTTTTTGGCTCTATTGTGCAGACTTAATGAAAAGCCGCACATCAATGAAGGGGTCCTGTGTTTTCCGGTTCCTTAAATATTTTGTGGGACACACTGGGGGACAGTCAAACTCAGAAGGGACTTTGTCAGGTTACGACATCCACCAGTACTTCCCTTTCTCGCTGGTCATCCTCTTGCTCAGGGTTGCTGCCATACGGAACAACACCGCGGCCTCAACCCTCGCATTTCTTACCGTCATCGGTGGACATTGTTTGTAAGCAACCCAGTCATACTCAAGCTGTAGGTTCCAGTTTTAGGCGCCACTAACACATAACTGCGGGACATTGATGAAACGCTGGTGCGACATAAAACGTCTGAGAGGGGGCTGGCTGAACACCCACACTGATTAGAGCCCCCTCCCCGGGTCAGGACAGCCCCAGGCTTGCTGGAAAGACTGAGTGGCGATCAACCAGCATTTGTGAAGTGTTGGTTATGCTGTAGGGCAGGAGCCCTGAACGTGTGTGTGTGTATAGTACATGTGTGTTTGTGCGTCTCTCATGTGGTGTGGCTGCCCCTTGTTCGCTTAGCTTGGGATTATCTCCCGTGGTGGTTTCACTGAGGAACAGGCAGAGCCATTTTCCCTCAAAACGACTCCTTTCGATCCCCTGACACGCCTCTGACACAGTGCCGACACGGCTTTACCGTGCCCCTGACACGCCTCTGACACAGTGCCGACACGGCGTTACCGTGCCCCTGACACGCCTCTGACACACTGCCAACACGGCTTTACCGTGCCCCTGACACGCCTCTGACACAGTGCCGACACGGCGTTACCATGCCCCTGACACGCCTCTGACACACTGCCAACACGGCNTACCGTGCCCCTGACACGCCTCTGACACAGTGCCGACACGGCGTTACCATGCCCCTGACACGCCTCTGACACACTGCCAACACGGCTTTACCGTGCCCCTGATACGCCTCTGACACACTGCCGACGCGGCTTTACTGTGCCCCTGACACGCCTCTGACACACTGCCGACACGGCATTACCGTGCCGCTGACACGCCTCTGACACACTGCCGACGCGGCTTTACTGTGCCCCTGACACGCCTCTGACACACTGCCGACACGGCTTTACTGTGCCCCTGACACGCCTCTGACACACTGCCGACACGGCTTTACTGTGCCCCTCTGACATGCTGTCGTGTCTTGACGTGTGTCTTTACCGTGCACAAGGCCCCTACTGTGTGTCACTGCCACATGCTTCTGACCTGATCAGGTCCCAGTCCACTTAGGGATCCCTACCCAGACTGGGGAAAGGTGTTGGTTGTGTGACATCATAAAACAGGGACAGATAAATGGAGGGAGAGGACAGACCAATCAGAAGGTGGATCTTGTTGTCCTTGGCATGCATTCCTCATTCTCCATGCCACGCCTAATGCTGTTTACACACTAATTGCTAACTGATTGTCTTTGTTTTTTTTGTATCTCTGCAGATATGGGAAAATAGTGTCTACGAAGGCGATCCTGGACAAAAACACAAATCAGTGCAAAGGTAAGTGGTCAGTAGGGCTGTGGGTGGTGGCTGAGTGTGTGTTTGTGTGTGTGTGTGTGTGTGTGTGTGTAAAGGGGGGGCGGGGGTTGGGAATCAGCACTGCCTCATAACTCAATCTGCTTGTTATTGTAAGAGGCTGGACCAAGTGAACTTTATAAATAGGGAGGAAACTGCAGACTGGAAGTCAGTGACAATCAGGCAGTCAGGCCTCCAATCTGGAAACTCGGGAAGGGCAGCTGCTGCAGTGCAGCTTGCGACACTGCCTGACTGCGTATGTGTGTAAGCCAGAGGCTCTAGATATCACCCGTTCTCTTTGTGTATGAGGAATAGCAAAGAGAAAAGATGATCCTGGTTGGTTTCTTGGGCAATTCTGTGATGATTGCTTTTTTTTCTCGTAAACTGTTCGCCTGACATGGCTCAGTGTTGCCGGTTGGGTGCGAGCTCGTTTCTGAGCCTCTCTGAGGATCAGGACCCTTACAGCCTGCCTGGAAAGCTGCCCAGCGCCGCCGGTACAGCAGCCGTGGTGAATTTGCACGTTCTGTTTGATCTCTTCCATTAGCTTAGCAGACATTCTTATCCAGAGCAAATTCTCCGCTTCAGTGCCTAGATCTGTTTACACTGTCCACTGATATATTGACCGAAGAAATTTTTTATTAAAAATGCAATGCCATGAATAACTGCATTGTGCAGTTCATTGTACGCCGAACAGAGGGGGCGCTGATGAGTATATGCAGGCTATGGAAAGAGCCACCTGAGAATGTGACCTCTGGTGCACATATTCAGTTGTCACAGAACGTTAAAGTTTAGTCAATACCACTTAACTGACTTAATCGGCATCTTCCTCCTAGAAAATGACGATCAATTTTCTTCCTCTTGTTACTCTGTCTGTCAAGGTGGGGGGAAAAAAACTCCATTGCAGCTTATATTGATGCACACTAATCAACTCAGTGACCTCTTCAGATCACTGGCATCCTTCTTTGTTCAGTTTGTGTTTCCGTCTGATGCTCAGCTTAGTCTGCTTACCTGCCACCGCAAAGTGACCCCTCTGAGGATGCATGACCTGCGATCGGATCTCCTTCAAGGATATGTGCACCTACAGTGCGTTTACTGCTCCTTCAGCACCACTGCAAATCATTCTGTCCTCACTGTCTGCAGTAGGCCAGTGTCGCTGACCTGTGCACCAGCTGTACTTTTTGCATAAGGAAGGGTTCTAAGTCGTAGCTTCAGCCGTATTTCAGGCCCAGAAATGCTCACCCCCCATGTATTTTCTGCTGTGTTTCAGCTTATAATGACAAAGTCAGTGAGGTAGGTGTGGTTAGGATTACAATAACCAAGTCAGTTAGGCCAATGTGTTCAGGATTTTCAAATATCAGGTTGGCTAGGTCAGTGTGTTCAGGATTCCTAATGACCAGGTTGACTGGGTCTGTGTTCAGGATTCCTAATGACCAGGTTGACTGGGTTTGTGTTCAGGATTCCTAGTGACCAGGTCAGCTGGGTCAGTGTGTTCAGGATTCCCAACGATCATATTCTCATATGTACACAAATGCACACAGATTCTCTCCTGTGTCATTCCAGAAATACACACACCTCGCCACACACAAATACCCCAACACATGCAAGCATACATACATACACACACACACAAGCTCAGTAGCCTAACTCGCAGCCACTTGTGTGAGCGTGTCCCCACAACCCCTTTGGTGTCAGGCGTGTTTCTGCAGGAGAGAAACCGAAACTGGAAGCTGAGAATCTTGCGAGCTGTCGATGGGCACCTGCAGCCCTGCAGGACGAGATGGCGGCTCTTTCCTCAGTCTGCTCTCGCTGCCCCTTATTCCTTTTCTCTTTCCTTTTCATCACGGACCTGTTCCTGTTCCTGAACGTAGTTTTATGCAGTCCACCACACTGGAGTCTGCGAGGGGGCCAGTGTAGTATGGTTTCTGAGGGCATCTAATACTCCATTCCTTTTGTTTTATCTCTAGTAATGTTGTTCTGTCCCTTATAGTATGACTTTGTTCCCAGTCCCAATATTTCATTCCCAATTCTGTCATGTTATCCTGGACAACTGCAGTCATTCCCCTGCTTCTGATATTTCTGTCCCGGTGGCACTGCATCTGTCTGCAGCGGTGCCGTTCCGACCCAGTTGCCAGAGAAGGGCGGCGTTTGCCGGCGAACACTCACGGAACTCGCAGAAGCCGCGGGGCTCCGATCTCCATGGCTCGCGAAACCTTTAGCCGTCGCTGCTGGAGCGCAGTGTGGGCCGTATGTCGAATTGTGGCCCGTGAAGGAGCGGAAAAGACCTCTCAGTGGGAGGTGAAGCGGGACCACATGCGCCGAGCAGCACGCCTGTCCCTGGCGCGTCGTGCTGAGGGGGGGTGGAGGGGGGAGCGCTTGTTTGTTTCAATTATCGGCTCCTCGTTACCAGCGGAGGATCAGAATGCTCGCCATGGCAACCAAGATTTGGTCCGACACTTTGCCGACACGAATCGAAGCACGTGGGATCCGAGGCGAGGAGCGATCTGCAGTGGTCGCATTCGGGCTGCGTTCTAAAACAAGGAGGGGGTTCCAGAGCGAGTGGATCCCCGGCTGTTTGCCAAGGACTTTAATGGTGGGGGGGGTGGGGGGGTGTTTGTTTTTATGGATTTCATTAGTCCTGCTTTCCAAGTTCTGTTACACGCACATACGCACGCCTATAAATATGCACGCTCACACATGAGTCTTAAGAAGTCCACGCCCCATTCCCAGAGCCGGAGCTCGCTTCCGTCTTTCCCGGCCGTGCCTCTCTTGGCATCGTCCGCGTCCCTGTTCGCCAGCTCTGCCAAGCTGGCCTGCACCCAAGGCTGCGCTCTGGCTGGGCAAGCTGTCGTAAATAGAAACCAACCCCAGCATTCCTAAACTTAGACCTTTTGTCCCAGTCCGCTTCCTGCTGACTGCTGTGGACCCCCCTCAGTGGGGGCGGCTGGCCGTGCGCTACCAAAGATCCGGCGGTTCAGTGTCCGGAGGAACGGAGTCACGCTCTGGTACACATGATACCCCCCCCCCCCCCCCACAAGGGTCAAAGGGACACTTCCTGTAGCCGTGTGTGCTTGACAAACACAGCCCCGCATCCCATCTCAAAGGATCGTGGGAAGAATTATGTCTTATGGACCTGCAATGGGTAAGCGAATAGTGGGGAGGGCGGATGAACACTGAATGGCGGTATAGCGGAGTCTGTCTATTCCCCTGAGTGAGGGGCCAATTATATCGAGATCATAATGCATTGTGTACTTGTAACATATCGTAATTAAGTGTGAGCACGGAGGGGGCGACGCTGGGATGGACAGAACGAGGATTTTGTGCAGGTACTGGAGTAAAAGTGGGTTTAATTACATGGTGGTTTGTCATCATAACGAAAAAGAGGCATTTCTGCGTCAGCAAATCGGAAACATGCCTGGAAACGGGTCGAGGTGGGTCAGGTCAGGTCAGACCGGGTCGGGCCAGGCCAGGTCGTGGGAAGGTACCCACCTGGGATAAGGGAGGCAGGTCTGTGCAGAGCAGAGAGGCTGTGTTTTATAATCCATAATGATGCAGGAGTGAGACTTTATTTTGCCCCACCCTGGGACATCCAAACCACCCCACCCACCCCCTTGTCCAGCTGGGCCTTACCTTCCTCACAGAGAAGCGAAAAAGCCACAGAAGAGTGCAGCATGCATCAGAGTGACCTCACCATCGCATCCAGTGCCGGTCACCATTTGCCTTAGCCAGCTACCAGAGACGGCAGTGACCCGGACGCATGTGTATCACTGCCAGCCGGAGACGGACGCGTGTGTATCACTGCCGGCCGGAGACGGAGCCGGACGCGTGTGTATCACTGCCGGCCGGAGACGGAGCCGAACGCGTGTGTATCACTGCCGGCCGGAGACGGAGCCGGACGCGTGTGTATCACTGCCGGCCGAAGACGGAGCCGGATGCGTGTGTATCACTGCCAGCCGGAGACGGAGCCGGACGCGTGTGTATCACTGCCAGCCGGAGACGGAGCCGGACGCGTGTGTATCACTGCCGGCTGAAGACGGAGCCGGACGCGTGTGTATCACTGCCGGCTGAAGACGGCCAGAGACGGACTTGAATTTGTGTGTATGACTGCAGGCCTGTTTCTAGTCTGAATGCGTGTGTATCACTGCGTCCCGGGTTCAGACCCAAATGCACATGCATGACTGCAAACTTGGCACCGACTGGAATGCTTGTGCATCACCGCAAGGCCCTGTGTGTGAAACCTGTTGGCACAATGTTGCACAATCTCTGCCATTTCACTCTGGTCCATTTAGGTTTCCCGTTCAGATGCCTCCCCTGGACGACACGGGCTGACTTTTATTGGATCTCCGGCAGTGATGGAACCATGCTTGGGGGCAGCGGGGGATTTAATGGGGGGGGGGGGATTGGCTGCTGTTTCAGGCTTTGCTTCAAAGCTGCAATACAATGACAGTAAAGCTGTTGGAATGACCACCTTAAGCCTCCCTCTGAGAAGCAGTTTGGGGGGATTTTTGTTCTGTTTTCTCTTATTTTCTCTCAGCACTGGGGGGAGGAGGGGTGGAATATCACAAACTTAGGTCTTAAGGCTGTATGCAGATCCCTGGGCCATGCTCAGATCCCCAGGTTGGTGTACCTTCTTTCTTGAGTCATATGCAGATCCCCTGGGGATGTACACAGATCCCCAGGCTGTACGCAGATCCTCCAGCTGTATGCAGATCCTTGCTCTGTACTCAGATCTCCAGGCTGTATTCAGATCTCCAGGCTGTATTCAGATCTCCAGGCTGTACTCAGATCTCCAGGCTGTACTCAGATCTCCAGGCTGTACTCAGATCTCCAGGCTGTATTCAGATCTCCAGGCTGTACTCAGATCTCCAGGCTGTACTCAGATCTCCAGGCTGTACTCAGATCTCCAGGCTGTATTCAGATCTCCAGGCTGTACTCAGATCTCCAGGCTGTACTCAGATCTCCAGGCTGTACTCAGATCTCCAGGCTGT